TGCCTGACCCATTGTGCATCGTCGTTGAGGAAGGGGCCATGGAAGCAAACACATCTGACCATCCACGGCCAGCACGTTGGTGGCATCTCAAGGGACAGGCATTGGCTGCACTGATGTTTGCCACTTCCTTCCAATGCTGGACGCACTGAGCATGGAACACATGCCCGCACGGAATAACTGCATTTTGGGAAGGGACCTTCATTGGCTCCTGGCAAATCACACACCAGGGGTACTCCACAGCGCGTCCTGTCTCATCTCCATCTCGATTGGGGCCCACTGGAGTGTCACGGCTTCCTTGTCCATCCTCACTGCATCCCAGGACCAAAGTAGTATCTGAGCGGTGATCATCATCATTTCCTGCATCATGTTCAGGCTCAGGCTCAGGAGAAGCAGGTGGCGGTGGTGCGACAACACTTGAGCTCTTGGACGCAGCGGTCGCCAACAAGCCTGCCATGCTCCATTGAGGTGTTGGAGCAGCAGGGTTCAGTAGTGGCACTGGGGGCAAAGCTGAAGTCTTCGGCATGCATGCCTTGGGCATGGGAGTCTTTGGAGCTGGAGCCTCTGCAACAAAGACGGGAGGAGGTCCCTTCGGTTTTGGAGGTGGCTGCAAAGTCGCAACAGTCGCAGCAGACCCAGCCACTTCACCACTCTGTTGAGCTGGCACCGGTGGAGGCCCTGGAGGAGGGCCCACCATGGCGGCCTTTGCCATGGCGTCAGTGATGCTGTGGCTTGCTGGAGCCTTTGCCTTGGCTTTCCTTGCAGTCACCCCCATCCAGTCATCAGTCCACCCATACTCCTGAGCTAGGCCAACCACTTCGTAGTCTGTCAAGACAAGGGACAACCTGCTTTGGATCTTCCGAGTGAACTCCTCCTTGCCACCCATGGAATTCACCACCCTTGTACAAGAGGTCTTCAACTTGTTGATGAGCTCCCTGTAAGTGCGAGCTCCTTGCAGGCACATGACTGATAAGATGGATGATATTGCTGGCAAAAGAATATGGTCAAGTCTGGAAGTAAGAGCCCAATGCTATTTGTTTTTCCCAAGTATCAACCATTCAAACAAAACAGTCTGTTCAATATCATCTGTCTTTTAAAAAATAAAAAAGTGGTGATAATCGCCCCAAGCAAAATTTACTTTATTGCAAGCAAGGCTCGAAGCACCGACATTTGAACACATGGCCGCATTCGAGTGAACAAGTAGATGCAAGCAAGCAAGCCCGTCACGGACAGGTTGGCTGTCAGCGTGGCATCGAAAGCGGCATCCAACCGCTCACAAATCTCCGAGAGCCACCGACGAGGAATGTTCTTCAGCAACGACGCGCTCCTAGTGACTATTTGATCCAACTCATTATCCTCCACTGGGCCCATGTTCCCCTGTCCTGGCTGTGGTGGCGCTGGCGCCTGCAAAGGTGGTGCAGCCACCTGAGGGGCAGCCACAGGCAGCGCCTTCGGAGGAGGAGCTTCTGATTCCGAATCACTGCTCTCCTGATCCCCGTTGGCAGCCATGGAGTTCATCATCATGCTGGCAGCCATGGGATTCATCATCATGGCCATGGGATTCATTCCCGCCATTGGGTTCATTGCTCGCTTCTGTCGCTTGTTGGAGTGACGCCCCATGTCACACAAGCTTCAAGGCAAACAACTTAAACAAGTTCCCCGATCAAATGACGATATGGCATGTGACTTGAGCATAGCCGACAAAGTCAAAAACAACGCAAGCAAATGAACATGGGCGAATGTTGCACATATGAACCATATGAAAACATGTTTTCCACTGTAAACTGTACTTGCAGCATTGTTTTTGTTCGATCGAGTCTGTCGTTTAGAGAAGTTTGGATCATATCTTCAAAATACATCAAAATACAATTTCGAGATTTTTTGAGATTTTTCGAGATTTTTCGAGATTTTTTGAGATTTTTTTTTCCCTTCATTTTTTGAGTTTTTAATTCAAAGTAGTATTCGACCCTCGAGATTTTTCGAGATTTTTCGAGATTTTTTGAGATTTTTCGAGATTTTTCGAGATTTTTCGAGATTTTTTGAGATTTTTCGAGATTTTTTGAGATTTTTTGAGGCCGGCCATTTTTAAATTAATTTTGCACTTTTTATATTCAAGTAGATCTAAAACACAAATTTTCGAATTCTGTTCAGGTCAGAGTGAGAGTGTGTGTGTGATGTTGTTGAATCATTTCACTGTATGTTGTTTTCTTTTCATATCATCTCGCTGCCGACCTTTGCCATCGCCCAAGGCCATTGGATCCAAAGGACCTACACACGTGCATGATGAAACTGGATACCCGGGTCTTAAACAATGATTTCAATTTCAGAAGCCTCCAAAAGTAATGTTGCATATGTATTACCAGTAACAAGTCAACAAATCATCAATATTACAAATCAGTCGATATGTCATTGAAGTGTAGTGAAGCTGAGACACAACAAAAAGAACCTTTGCCATCAGAGAAGGTCACCACACAACTTCACCGGCTCACATGTGGCAGAAACATGTCGGAACAACATGCTGTTTATAACAAAGATTTGATACCAAGACCTTGCAATACAGCAAGCACCTGGCTTGCAATAAATGAAAACTATATATCACAAAATGTAAGCCACCAACACCATCGACACAACATTTGCAAAGTCCTTAAGATGCAAACAAAATTGTTGCGCCTCGAGAATTTTGACATCTTGCCTCAAGTCGAGCGCACAGTGTCAAATCAAATCAAGCAATCAATCAGTGTCATATGATCATATGTCATATGTTCAGATGACCCACGCATGGCAATCTCACATTCATATGATCATATGAGCAAAGGTCACATGTCCACATGAAGCTGTTGAGTCATCCACAGGACACGTTTGTGGACCCAACTTGGAAAAACAACGAAGATCAAATTATATCAACTTGTGTGTGAATGTTTATTTTTGTTACGCCGCCAGGTTCATAATGCCACAATGGACAAAGAGGCGCAAACCTCTATTGGGTTCACACTGGCTCTGACTCTGCTATGCCGATCCTCCACCAAGTTCGAATCGAGGGGCTGCACACTCACATGAAGGTGAGTGTCAAGAAGACAGACAGCCACTCTCAGTCTCACAGGTGGCAAGTAAACAGTCACCTGCCCTGCTGCGGGAGCTCTAGTCTAGTTCCAACGGGCATGGCGCAGCTGCAACTTGCCATCCCCTAAATCAACCGTTGACAAGTAGCTCTGCAAGTGGCACAGGCTGTCAGCAATGACCTGGTAAGCCGCATGAAAGCCCACGAAGATCCTTCCTTGCCCCTCGTGGGTAATGATGGTCTCCAAGTACTTCAAGGCCGCTCTGGACTCTTCAATTTTGCGCTCAATCATGGCAGCCGGAAACCCTTGTGCGTCAATCTTGTGGAGCATGGGCAGGGGCCCTGCATTTGAGTCATACACAAGGTTGTCAACATACCTGGTGTCTGCAAATGACCCACCAGAAGCAAAACTGCGAAAGGCAACACAAGCAGTGATTGCAATGGCCACCCCATGAGCAGTTTGCTTGTAGTCCTTCCACATGAACTGCACAAACCGTAAGACTTCCTTGCAAGACTCCAACTGAAATTCGCATTCTTCGTCCAACTGGGGCCTCAAAACACTGAGCTGATTCCACGCGGTCTGCAGCTCTGCCTCGCTTAGCAGCTCGGAGGCCATGTTGAAGAGAGAAGGAAAATAAGTCAGCAGGTCAGCTTCTAGCTTTTGAACCCTTAATTTATTTACAAACATGTCAGCATATGAGCATGTAAGCATGTGAGCAGATCTTTGACTAAGTGAATAGGTCATATGATTTACGTGGGGAGTTGCAGCCACATGTTTAAGCATTGCGAATTCAGCGATTGGAGTGAAACTTCAACAAAAGCTCAATAATTTGCAAACAACAACAAGCTGGCAATACCACTGGTCAACAACAAAACACAAACAACACAAGTGACAACTAAAGACTGCTTTCCAAGATTGGGACCTCAGGTCGTCCCAACAGGCCAGGGCGAAGAGACCAAAGAGGACCAAGCATCACCTGCCAGAGCTAAGACGAATTGCTTTCAAAAGGCGAACCGGACACACATGATGACATGTGACTCAATGCCTTGCTGCGGAACTGACCTTCTCACTGCAAATGCATGCAGGTGTGCGCTGCTTCACACTGAGTGCCCAGCTGCCATTTCCCCAGCTTCAGCCGATAGACCTGGGAAGCTCAAACCCCATGGTTTACGGCTCGATTAGCCATAGTAGGCTTCTCAAAACCCAGAAGACATTTCTCGAAAACAATGCGCATTGTGTACTATATATATATATATCCACATTGCCTGCTTCAGTTCCTTTTCGGCACTGATTCTTGAGGTCGCAGCTAGCAACAGATGAAGGCAGCTCCACCTAGGCTCAAACATATAAGGCAGCCAGCATTAAAACTTGGAAAGAGGTCAAACTTCAAGAACATTTCGAAATGTGTCTTTCAGTCTTCTCGACTACTGATTTGCTGCAAGGAGATCGGACCTTTTTGCATCCTGTCTTTACTACAGTGCTTTGAAAGTTCTGTGCGCAAGGGGTATATTCCAGGCTCCACAAATTCAAAATTCGAAGGCCATTCGCAGCCATCCTGAGCTAAGTGGCTCTTGTCAATCTAATGGCTGACTACGATCAGTGAAAAACTTCGAATCAAGTGAAGTTACCACCATGATCCATTGAGTCACAAGCACAGCTATTCCAAACTTGGCGCATGTCAAATAGGACAGTCAATTCAAGTGGGACGACATGTGCAGCCAAAGCCAGATTCTATAAGTGAAAAGATTCAAGGCCAAGATTCAGCTGGACCTTCTCCGATCAAGTCCTGTCCTTTTTCGACATGTCGTAGAGCCGGGCCTTCTCATTTCCTCAGTGAGTCAGGCTTTACAAGCAAAGCCAGCAAAAGTTAAAGAGACAAACAGTGAAAATTTCAAATGCACTGACTGACAGACAGAGTTGCTATTTGCAGATTCAACAGAATAATCAAACATTGACATGTTCCCCATCCAAAGTTAGCCGTGGATGGACCAGCTTATTTGAATCAGAGCGGCGGATTGCCTTCATGAGCCAGCCATCAAAGGACTCATCATCTTGGGCCCGCTTGTACAGAAGCCTGGACCTGAAGCAAGGGACATAGCAGCAAAAAACTGTTCCCAATGCGAGCAAGCTGCTAGTTACAATCCTGTCAACGGCTCTTCATTATGAAAGCTTTCTGCCCACTAACAAAAACAACTCAGAACAAGAGAGCGTAATAGTTTATAATGATATGTTGCCTCAACAAGCGAATCGTTGATATGGAACACGGCAAGCAATCCAGCAGATTCAGATATAATGCACTTCGCTTCACTAGCCACAGTGCAAAGCACGAAAGACATGTTCAGCATGTGCATACTACCAATTTCCTTCAGTACTTACTTCTACTTAGCTTGTTGGGCCCAGGCACAAAATGGCAGCCTGGGACACGAGGGACAAAGTTGACAATCTGCTGCCCACGGTCGTAGAGATGCGATAATCACGCAAGATTTCACACCTTGATCAGCCGCATGTTGGCCCCCAGCGTTTTTGTGCATGTGTGTATGATGTTTCTTCATTGATTGTGCATGATGGTGCCATGTTAACATTGCCCAACCCAATCCTTACCAAGAAACATCACTGGGTCAGTAATTTGCCCATATCCCACCAGCCCTGGTGGTGGTGGCGCAAGCGGCTGGGCTGGCAGTGGCTCGGCCAGCGGTGGTGCTGGTGGCTCAGAGGGTCTTGCGCTGCTGCTGGCTGCTGCTGCTGGAGGAGCAGCAGCTGCTGCTGCTGCTGCAACGCGATTTCTGGGCCCAGGTCTGGCCTGCAAGATCCAATGACAAAGTTGATACTGAGACACTTCACTGCAGTAAGTTTTGTAAACAGCTTGTGTCACGCAAATTAAGTTTGCTGACAAGACATCTGAACATTTGCTCGCCTTCTTCTCCGGGCGTGTCATATTACTGTCCAAACCATCAAGGACTTGCCTCACGAATTTCATCATCATTCATTGCACTCAATCATTTGGCTAGGACATGCTTGCAATATGTTGGTGCAATGTCAATGTCAACGAACTTACCATTGACACATATCTTTGCACATCTTTAGGATTGGACTGCCCACCAAGGCGCTGAACCCAGTTCGTATGACCCCAGAGGGTGCATTCATACCAGATGTTGACGGTCTTCTTCAGATGTAAGACCCACGAGCGCTTGATCTGCAAGCCAGGTGGATAGAGGCTCAGCACCATGCAGCCCCTTAGCAGCGCAAATGGCATTCAGACACTGACATCCTGGCCAGTCAATGGATGACTTAGCAAACGGATGCCTTTGGATTCGGGCAAAATTTTATTCTAATCTCAAGCCTATCAGTGGCTTGCAAACAAGAAATGCAACAGACATGCAAAATAAAACCGCTTTGTTTCCACACACCGGCATTCCACATGAACTAGTTGGTTGCAGCATGACTTCTCTAAATGAACTCCAAGCTTCCAATCAAAAGACATAGCTTCGGATTCCAGTGTGACCGTTGGGTCCAAGCCGTTGAGGTTGTGGCATGTCACAATCCTTTGGCAATCCCTTTGCCAGTCTTCTGACAGCGATTGGAAAGCGACTCCAACCTCCACCCCAAAAGCCTCAGAAGTCAAGCCAGAAAACAATGATCAAACGCAGCTGTATCCATCCGATAGCCAAAACATGTTGCTGGTAAATTTCCTTGACCCATGAAAACAAAATTGCGTATTGCAACCACCAATTCCGTTCGTGTGACATTCTGAAAGTCAAGTCAAGTTGCTTCAAGGACTGCCGCCACAAGAGATACCATGGCAGATGTTCGATGGAAGCCCCGACTGCAGCAAATCCTGCGAAATCACAAAGAGAACTAGTTAGCCACAAAAGCGAAATGTAAAATTTTATAAAAGAGACACTACCTAACATCCAACAAGAGAGCAAGAGTGTCCAGCAATGCCATGTGTGCAATGAAGCAGTCCTCAAAAGCCTGCCAGGCTTAGTGAGAAGGATTCGCAGGCATTGTTGCGCACGAGGGTGCCGGAAGACACTCTGCATGATGTGGGATTCCAGACCTGGTTCTTCTCCATAGCCACCCTTTGGTCCTCCGCGCTTTTCCCTTAGCTGTCAATGCTTAAAATTTCACCGCAGGGGCTTCATCACAAAAAACACAGAAAAGAATGAATGTGCTCACTGATATCAATGTGGCAAATTCCGAGATTCGTCTTCGGCAAAAGTTGCGCCAACCGATGTTCCCAAACATTTTCACCGAAGACCTCCGAAGGAATCTCCCCGTAGCTGGACACATACGCCTTCTGGAATGCTCCTCGCCTCTTCACTTGGACTTCCATCTGCCAAGGCGCAGACATTGTGATTGAGCGAGGTAATTGTCAAAACTACTTCCCCAAGCCATGCGTTCTCTCAGAAACAAACTGCTGTATCAGAAGGACACTGAAAAAAGATTCTAGTGTATCCTGGCTCTACGTAGCATCGAGCTAGAGTTTCTCTGACAAATCCGTATAACCTTGGGTAAGTGGGCTTTGCGATTTGACTGAAATCAAAGAAAACGCAGCACTTCTCGCCTCAGGGCCCCAGACCGCATTTGGCCCCACTCCATAGCCAAGGATAAGGACGCGAGCTGGCCAATTGATGGTTTCACCAGTTGGAAGCTTCACCGGGATGGTCTGGGCGGCCTCAATGCTCAAGCAAAGCGGTTGAATGACAAAGGCAAGTGCACGAAAGGGTTTCTGCAAAATTGACAAATTGGCCACTCAGCCAACATGTTGACTATGTAGGAACAAGTGAAAAGCCCTTGACACAGAAGCGGCTTAATGAAAGAACACCAGCAACAGTGACTGAATAAGTAGTAGCACTGCTGAGTGAAGGACTAAAATAACAGCAGCGGATTAATGATTGTAGACATGAATGACCTAGCATTCCTGCGCAACAACCATTGTTCCAAATGTCCTGTGCCTTTTCACATTTATGATTTATGGTGTGTTAATGGGCTGAGCTTGGCCCATGAGCACCAAGCCCAAGGCTTCTCATCAAAGGCCGAAACACTAGAAGCAGTACCAGCCCAGCCAAGTTGCATTTCGGGAGTCACTTTTTCCCGGAATGCTCTCTGAGCTCTCCGTCAGCTTCTGCTGCCCTGGGCACAGGGAAAAAAACAAAACAAGTGAGTCTCATCACATGGACAAACAGACTGCAGCATAACGTAGCTGTGAAAGTGAACCCATCTGAAAGTAAGGAGGCAATGCACTGTTCCCTCCCAACTTGGCACACCTATAATCAAGCCTAGTCGCATTTGGAGACCATTGTCCACACACTTGAGCAGCCACCCTTCCAAAGACTTTTTTTGACAGTTCGTCACAGTCTGCCTCAAAGGAAGAAAAACAGCATTGGTTGACAATCAATTCCTTGTTCTTGGTGTTTCCGCTTATCTAAAAAAAACATCAGATGAACATAGAATTGGGAAACAATTTTAAGATCAAAATCTATGAGCAGTAAGAGAGTAACGCCGCCAGGGCTCACTGTGTTCGCTGCCAAACTGGGATCCACCAATGAGAGGAGATACACCGCCTGAGCTAACATTTTCACACGATAAGGTGAAAAACCTGGCGCTACATGAAAGAGTTAGAAGGCTGGTTTGCCGCCAATCTAATGGAGACAAGCGTGTGACATGTTTTTACCTGAACTTCCTTCGAAATTTGATTCAGGCTGTCTTGCTGTCCAGTGGCCTGCTGTCCTTTCCTGCCGGCCAGAAATTCAACAAAAATCTTGGCTGCACTCACAAGTTCATCACGGTGGACCAACAAAAACAACAGTTCAGTTTGCAGATCCCCAGGCCTGTTGGGGCGATCTGCAGTTGACTGCAGATGAGGTGTCCAAGTTGCTGGCAGAAGCTTGAGCGCAACGGAGTCCATGAGCAGCCGAAACCAGTGCCGAAACAAATGATGCTTTATAAATATGAACTTCTAAACCATTAGCCAAGTTCATTTTGATAACATGATATCCACATCGCATAACTGCACATCAGGAGTCACATGACCATATGTCATTTGACATGTGACATGTGAATGTTCACGGTCCATGTGAGCATGTGAGCACTGCAGCAGCACAAAGACACGCTAACTCAAGATTGGAAGATCAAATGAAAATGACATAGTCCATTTCAGCACTGAACATGTAATTCCTTTTGTTCATTCATAAGGCTTTGAGGTCAAAACAAATGATTTTCCAAGGTCCAGACCGTATCTCATGTAGTGAATCAAAATGGGTGGGGGCCCAGCAAATGAAGAACTGGGCCATAGATTCAGAAACTGCAAAATGGTCATCAACAATTACATTAACTAACTCAAAGTAAGTGCATTGAACTATTCAGTCATTGCATCACAAACATGTCTTAATTTATCATATCACATGAAAGCGACCAACTAGTTTCGCTTTATTGATCAACAACTGCATCCAACTTTCTCAACGTGCCGAATCCCAGCCTCGAAAAAAGTCTTCAAAACATTCAAGGTTTTACCTGGTCACAAGCAGTCGAGGCATTGAAAAAAGAAACACAAACACTACAATCGTCATCGGTCAAGTTGTGGACAAAAGGTACACTTCCACGACTGAGCTCAGACCAACACAAACCCAAATACCATTTGTCAAAGACAAGTTAGTGTGACGGAAGCAAGCTTGTAAACAGTTGATTGCTCTGCATTTTTGTTGAAGCTTCTACATTCCAATTATGATATTGTTCTGCAGACAAACTAAGCCAACTGCGAACTGGGGAACAGAATCGAACTGCTGCCTGCCCATTCACATGTCTCTCCCCGCACTCAAATATCAGAAGCCATGTGGTTTGCAGCCTGAGTTGTATGAGAGCTCTCTGATAATAAGGTTACCTTATTTGCCTGATACCATTCCTTCAACATGATATGCTAAAATGGTATCTATAAAAGAACCTCCGTCCCAGCCTGGTGGGGTGTTCCAAACTCGCAGGACCTGGCCAATGTCGAAAGTTTCCACAAACTCAAACATAAATCAAACAGTTGCAGCTCCTGGGCCCAGAAACCCATTCCAAAATGGACAGGGAAAGGAACCAGCAACAGTGTCATTGCAAGATCACATCTACAATACCTATTAAATCCATCATTGCGGACAAGAGTTGACTTTAATACATTAGTTAAAAGTGAAAGACCAATTGCTAAAGACATGCCACATTTTCAACAGCGCTCGGTTAAGGTTATTCATTCTTGAGGCGCTATAAATGTGTTTAAAAAAGTGGAAGCGAAAGGCAAGTCAACAACAAAACCGCTTCTGTTCCCTGCCTGCGCATTGGCAAAAAAGATCGCCAGGCATAGTCTCTCATACGGTCCTGCCAAGATGTGCACTGGGGTGGTGAGGATAATTTTTGCACTGCTTTGAAAGCCACCCACAAAGGGTTATTTTTGAGAAATTATTTCATTTGCCACCGGCTTAACTACTCATATCTTGCCAAACACAAACGAAACATACTATGATGCTGGACTTGCTCTGTTGAAACTTGTTATTGTGAAACGGCTGATGGTTGTTTCCTAGTTCCGATATGACTTTCACTTCTTCCCTGAGCAAACTCAAACAGATTCCGAAGAGTTGGTACAAACAACCAAGTTCCCAGGTAGAGGCTTCACAAGTTAATTTGACAGAACTTTGTCTTCCAGGCCAATGTTGTTGATTTTGACTTACATGTGTCGCAGGGCAAGTGGCAAATATGTTTCTTGTTGGCCAAGGGTTCTCCATTGCCGTTTCAAGTTTGTAAAATCTTCCCATTGACGATTGAATGCGCAAAAAGGGATCTGCTTGACAACAAGAACTGCATGATTCTGTACAGAACAAAGTTTCCCGATGCATCGCCTCCCAACAACAAATCACCCAGCCCTCCCTCACCCAGCCGGAATGAATGACTGGAAAGAGATAC